ACAACTAAATTGAGTACTGTTGAGTTCAATGAGCTTTGAGTAAGATACCTAGCTGTTGGATGAAAAACAGCACTTTATACTTCTTGTTGTTGCTGAAAGAATTTTAAATATGACAATTGTTACAGAAAAGTTACTGATGCCTTGAAATATTCTTGGATTAGCATCCTGTTCTGCTGCAGCCATTATCAGTTATAAAAAGCAGCCTAAACCATTGTACAAATTACTGCTTTTTATTCTGAATTAGTAACATTTAAAATATCACTGTTAAACTCTTGTTTAAATAGAAACTTGTTTAAATAACAGTGGTAGTTCACCAAGACAAAGTTGGAAAGAGTGATAGGTAAACTGGGGCTGCAGCCTGTCTTGACCAGGAAAAACTGAGAGACGTGGGCAAATGATCAACTAAGTAAGCCTGTTCACACGTTCTTCTCACAGATTATGATCAAGTTCCAGATCAAGTGGAAGAAAAAAGCAGCGTCATGTTAATTTCGGGTCCATTATAAAGGCAAAACGGTGGTAGAAGTCAAGCAGACACCAGAAGTAGGAAATATGTCTTAAGGCTTCTAAGGGGCTATTACAGAGTCAATAAAGAAGTTTTTGCTGCAGAGCTTCTGCCGTAACTAAACGGTTTGCCTCCTGGAATAAATAAAAGGTGTGCCACCATAGACAACAAATGTTTCCTTGGGACCTTGAAGGAAGCGTTACTGTCTTTTTCTTTATGTAGCAAGCCTTGAAGCTATTCACTTTGAATGCTCTTTAGGGCTTGATCTCCCTCCCCACCTCCCTCCCTCTTCCCCCCCCCCCCACCCACTTTAAGGGTCAAGAGATATTAAACTTAAAAAGAAATTACAATTGTTACTATTTGTCACACAGCAGCAGGAGTAATGGATCCTGGCGAGGAGGCAGAGCAGCAGAGGATGTCGGTGTGCACTCGCAGTGTGAGCTGTGTTCTGTGGCATTAGGCAGGTCATTCTAGGAGCCCTTTTCTCTTTTCTCATTTTCTTATTATATGTTTTCATATAATTAACAATTTAATTGTATTATTCTTCAAAGAATGCTGCAGCAGTGGTGAGGGGGAGAATGGGAAAAGGGTCAAGAGATATTAAACTTAAAAAGAAATTACAATTGTTACTATTTGTCACAGCAGCAAAGGAGTAATGGATCCTGGCGAGGAGGCAGAGCAGCAGAGGATGTCGGTGTGCACTCGCAGTGGTACCGCTGAGCTGTGTTCTGTGGCATTAGGCAGGTCATTCTAGGAGCCCTTTTCTCTTATTATATTTTCTTATTATATGTTTTCATATAATGAATATTTAATAATTTCTCAGGATAGCCCTGGGAACCTAACTAATGCTCTCTGCTTGGGCGTGCTTTTATGCGTTCATGAGTTCATTTCTGTTTTGTATCTGTGGAAGGACTCCACCCACAGAGGTGGGCAATGAGATCAAGGAAGCAGCTGGACTGACATCATTGACACCGCTGGCAGGTAGAGCATCTCTCTCTGCCAAACCTGCCATGATGGACAGTAGCTGCTTTGATTTGTTTGTTGCAGTTCTGTGATTTGTCCCTTTTTAAAGAACAAGTGAACTCCTGGGGAAAGAGGGAGACTGCTTCCCTGGTGGAGGTACTTCTGAGAAGAATAAACCTGGGGGAGCTTTTCTTTGTCACTTCAGCTTGCCTACTGTTGTTGGTGCAGTCGAAGAGGCTGTAGGAAAGGGAAGGCAAGGGGGTCACAGGTGCATTGGGAAGGCAGCTGGGAGCCCTCAGCTCAGGTGGACAAGCAGAGATGTTGCTGTGAGGAGCAGGGTGCACATCAGCCTCGCAGGACAGAGAGGATAGACGGAGCATGGTTTGCCTCCACTCCGAAGGTTATTAGAAGCAAAGACCTTCCTGAAAGGCAATAATATGCAGGGGGAGAGTTGTATACAAACTTTCTCCTTTTGGTCCATCTTACCTGGTGGAGTTTCTTCAATTTAGAAAACTGTGGTTCTGTTTGTGTGTGTGTTGTTTTTTCCAAATCAAATAGAATTTGTTTTTTGACGAAGGCTGTGAATCACTACATTTTCGCAGGCAATCTCCCAAGATTTCAGACCACGCATAAGGTACCGCATGAGATGTAGCAGATGATCAATTAGCGTGAAATCGTGCTCATTACTACTGGTATGGCTCATCAAAGGATGCTTAGCATTAATATCAATATGGGTTCAGTTGGTCAACTGTAATATAGGTGATAATTTTAAGGTAAAGAACAAACCTGTGTACTTCAACCTTTGTACCTTTTGCCTCTACTTTTTAGCTGTTGCTAAAAATTGCAGGGTTTGTTCTTCTGGACTTTGTCACCAAAATGCTTTTTCATACATTAATAAAACAATATATAAACAAGGTATGTTGTACATTCTGTGTGTAGTTTAATATACCATTTGTTCAAGCTCAAGCGCATAATAGCGTCTACGTTTAAAAAGGGAGCAGAAAACCCCAAATTATTCCTTTATTTAGATATCATTTCCTTATGTTCATCTGCTCTTAACTTGCCATAATCATTGATTCTCCTTCTGAAATACAGCTGGTAGTAACAGTTGGACTGAAGATAACTTCAGTCATGTCAGGCAGTGCTCTTGGAATTTGTGAAAAAGAACAGAGAACAAATCTTAGAAGTGTCTTGCTGCTACTGTTTTGAAAGATATTTAGGTACTACAGGATACACAGAAGCCCTAAATGAGATTTTCAATCTTCAGTGTTTCACTAGCTCCAACAGTGATTCAAAAGATATTTAAGTTTTAGGTTATCTCTAATATTGAGCAATGTGTGTTCTCCCACTTTTGTTTAATACAGAACACTTTTTCTTTAAAATTTTTTTTAGTAAACTAGTTTTAGTTTGGGTTTGTTATGTGTTAACGCAAATCCAGACTAGAAAAGTGTGTGTCTATGTAAGTATTGGGTACAGTAACCTGATATAATGCATCTGAGTATTGAATTTTCATGTTTTATTTTTATGCTTTTGTACTGTATAGTAATAAATAATTTGATTATTGAATGTCTACATTTTGTCAGCATGAGGGAAAGAAACAGTCACTATGACGAAGGCTTGTCAGCAGCCCTTTGAGTTAAGATAAGAGGGAATAAGATGTTGTGTGTTTGATGTCACTGTAATGTTCAGGTGATGTGTAATTTTCTTCTGTACAACACTGCTCACTGCTTGTGTTGGAGGTCTCTGCACTTGACAATTGTCACTTTCTGTGCTTGGCATCTGTAAATATAGTAACAGCATTAGCAGCGGGTTCTGTATCTCAAAAGAAGTTTTCTTGTGCTGGTGGTAAGTCAGGGAAAGAATGCAAGAAAGTCCTTGTGTTGCCTGCGTGGTGTTTGTGAAAGAGTAGAAAACAGAATTTGAAGAAATAATTACTCAAAAGGGTTGAATAAATGTAAGTTGTGTGAAAAGGAATTGGCATCTATTATGGGGGGGAAAATACTTCGCACTGAATTCCCGTGTTCTCTGGGTTACATTTGTGTTGGGAGCATGTGAGGTGTATGGGGTACCAGCACCTCATGCAGGATCTACTGACTTTTTTTGCCTGTGAATGGACTGAAGACTTAAGCCTTTTGCAATATCACTTGTAGATTTGCAAACAAAATGCCAGCTGGAGAATGCATGAGTTATCTTTGATTAAATGTTGGTGACTGTGGAGAAAATCATATTATCAGGTCAAAAGAAATGACCATAGAATAAAATATACATGGGAAAAAAAATGGAGAATGAATCTCTTAATACATTGAGTATAGCAACTTTAGGTTGGTAGGGCCTAGAGAAGACAGTTGCCTCATCGCCTCATTTTCCAAAGTTGCCTGTGGTGAGCAGAGGAACGGGGAACAAGAAAGAAGTGAACTGTCCTGGTGTGCGTTGCCTTCTCCCTGCTGCTGTTTCTCCCTGGATGGCAGAGGGGAGAGGCTTTCTTCAGCCATGGCTCCCTGCGTGTGGCTCTGTCCCCCATCGGCAGTGCATCTCTTCCGAGACTGATTGTCATTCCTGTGTCTGGCTGCAGGCGCTGGTTGGCCAGGCAGGGCTTTGCAAAGGCTGGGCTGAACGCCATTTCATGACCCCAAATGAAGCCTAAATAGTGATATTGCTGTACCCAGAGTTTACAGAGTAAAGATGTTTACCTGAGGCATAACTAGTCATTTTATCTTCCGAGAAGCTAATCCTGTAGGGAAAAATGTAGTGCAAAAAGATACTATTTTGCTCTCTTTTGATTGTAGGCCCCCCCCGCCTTTTGAATTCCCAGAGGATGCATTGTATAAACCTGCCTTATCTGTCTGTGGTTAAAACTTGGCAAACAAAATGAATCACAAAAAGGGAATGGGGACCTAACCAGCTCCACTTCACAGTCAGGCTTTCTTCTCTGTCCATGTAAGCCTTTACCACCCACCTTAATACTTAAAAATTCATGACTTGGTCAGTTGTGCCCGAATTTCCTGCTTATCCTAAATTTGCGTCTCTTTTATCCCTTGGATAAATAGAACAGTAAATCTCTCTTCAGCGTATATTGGTAAGGGCAGGCAGTGCTTAGAATTCCAAAATTTAATGAAAAACAAGTACTGATACTTTTATGTTGTGCTAAAAATAACATTTTTATGCTTCATAAAAAGTTATGAGTAAAGTTGGAAAGACACAAAACCATCCTTGAAAAGTACAAAAAAAGTAGAGTTATATAGATGATATTACTTGTACCTCTGTGGTTTGGTTTCTTTTTTTTTTTTTTTTTATAAATTGGTTCTTGGTGAAACATCGCTTAAAAACAGAGAATGGTGACAAATACATTTCTACTCGGACAGCTGTTTCATACAATTTCTCACTGGTCCAATGTTAGCAGAAAAATTTTCTGTAGCTCCTACTTAAACGTATTTCCCAGATCTGATTGCTTATTATTTTGTGTACAGCAGTTTGGTTAACACATCTGTCTAAATGCTTCTTTTTGTTTTTCTTTTTTTTTTTTTTAATATATTAGGATGTTTTGAATAACTTGGGTTCCTGTGAGTTGGATGAAGATGACCTAATGCTTGACATGGATTTCCTAGAAGAACATCACCACCATCGTTCTGGTAAGTCAGACAAATACTGAATGTCTTCAGCGAGGTATTATTATTCTAGAAATAGAAAGTAAATGTATTCAGTACAATTACTTGGAAATAAAAAAGTGGTTTTCTTGGAAGGGGAAGAGCGGTATGCATTTTGTAGTGTTATTTCTAAATGTGTTTGCCATTTAACAGAAAAATACTCTTTACACTGCATTTGGACTTTGTATGGTCAGTTATGAAATGGAAGTGATTTCTACAGCTACAGAAGAATTCCAGCACCACGGGCAGACCCATCTGGTTTTCTAGATACTTTAAATGACTGCTGCCTACCCCAGGCAGTTACCAAAAAGACCATTGCTGATATAATTATGATCCCATTTTGTGTGTGCCAGAATAATATGCTTCAAATAAAGGAAGTTTGACTTGAGACATGAGTGTAACTTGATCCTTTCTCTCACGGTGCAGTGCACTGTTGCACCGCCTTGATTAATAGCAATAACCAAGGTCAACTCACGGTGTGTTCAGAACAATTTTATAATAGGATTATGCAAGGTCTTGGTAAGTTGTGGCTCCTGCATTTCCTTTGGCTGTGACGTGGGACAGTGCAGGGCCTAGTCCATGAACAGGAAAAGTCCTGCTAACTCCACAGGATTTGGAGAGACTCGAAACGTACGTGAGATTTGTACTTGATCACAGGTAGAGCTCTGAGTTTGTACTCTGTTGTGATACTCTGTTATGGCAGTGACATGCTTTGAAGCAGGAGTAATTCTCACCCTCTCTTTTACCTGCTGTTTTCTGACCCCTCTTTCTCCATCCACCCATGTAGGTACATATAGTGAACATTTATGCAGACTTGTGTGGAAGTGGGTTTGAGACATGTGCCTGCCAGTGTGTACCATCTTCAGTTCTGGTCCCTCCTTTGATGCAAATTTAGCAATGGTTACAGATAAACTGCTTGAATTATGTTCCTGTTTCACATGTTTTGTGTATGATCGTTCTGTGAATATATCTGAATTATCTGAATTATGTCTATGATAATTCTATTTAACCATTGTATTGTGCTTTTTAAACCTGTTTGCGTATCTACTTATAGGATAAAACATCTGTTCCATTTTATTTGGTAGAAAACAAAATAGCCAGAGAGTATGGAGGGTTGTAGCAGCAATATGTGCGTGAACATAGTTCCCGAAATTACTGGGAGCTAGGATGCAACAGATTAACTGCACAGAAAAGGGCCTTTCTAACCAGTACTGAAAAATGCTATTAACTGGTTACAGAAAGTCAACTCATGGGTGAAGAAATGTGGGTCAACAAGCTTCAAAAAAAAACAATCGCATTTTATCAGAAATCATAGTGTTTAGACTTGTTCATTCCCTGGACCTGTTGGAAACAAATTAACTGGCAGAACCATTTTCCCTAAATAAACTTCCCTAACATGTTGCACTTGGCCTCACCTGTGTTTTCCTCCTTTTTTTTATAAAGCACTGAATTAACAGTGATGGAAAAGTTTTGTCCAGTATATTATTATAAAGATTTGTAGCAGCTTCTGGAACAGCTAAGATCATAATGCCTAAATGACATTATACTTGATAAAAAAGTAATTAAGATGGAGATGTGATATGACACATAATCTTTCTACTCTTGGCTCATTATCCAGAGCAAATGAGATGCTTTTAAAACAGAAAGATCTACATTGCCCTTTGAAGAATGGTGACCGTTTCTATTCTGAGTAGTAACGTAGAGAGACACGTTGCAGTATACACATCGTCTTTAAACACAAAGGTGTTTATCTTATTAATATTTGCTCTTTGATTTATTTGTTTGGTGGTGGGTCTGGCTGCAAAAAATTTAGGATTTGCCTAGCTGTCACTGTTGGTTTTGAGTCATTCAGTTAGAAGAAAAAGTTGGAAGGATAGAGCCGCAGTATAAGTTGACACAATTTCACCAAAAAAAGTTGATGTCTTTATACTGGGTTAGGACCCAGCACAAAATGGTTAGATGTGGGTGGTTGTAAGTTGTCATCTTAAGTCATGTTAAGATATTGAGATAAGAGGCTTGATTTTCAGAGTCTCTTAGTATTTGCATACCACTGAAGTACATAAAACTCTAGAGTTAGATACTGACATCTAAACATTTTTGACAAGTTGCTTTTCTGATTGCTATATTAAGCTGTGGCCCACTTCCAGGATTTAAGACTTTTCAACCAAAATTCTTTTTAGTAATTCCAAATGAATCCATTCTTTGTTTTCACTTTTGGGCTTGTTTGTTTTCTCCAATAGGCCTCTCCATTCAAACCTAAATAGAATTCTTCTAAACTTCTTCAATTAAAATACATTATCAAATGTTATTGATGCAATGTTTTTTATAAGCACCGGAATACAGAAGTGATCGAGTGATCACGTTCAAGATATACAACTGGTTTAATGTGGAGCTTTAAACTTTTGTAAGCTCATCAGATTGGAAGTGATCATATTTCTGGGCATGCCCAAATAAGCTATTGCAAATAATTGGGAAGCAATATATGTTTTTAAAAAGATCTTCAATCTCGCCCCCTTCATAAACAGGAAGACAACAGATTACACACTGAGGATGAGCCAGTACTGTTATGGTAGAATTTGTTATTCTAATTGAATTTGAATAAAACCAGGGGGCTATTTCATTCTTTCAGTATGTGACCAGCCTGAAAACAAGAGTAGGTGATTTTCCATAGTATTTGCTAGTAGCCAGTTTGTTGGACGCTTTGTAAAGCTTTCTTTAAGATGATGGGTTTGATAGTTTACCTATGGCTTGCTTCACCAAAAATCATTCAAGACAATCCCAGACGTACAGATTTGTGAGCCTATTGGTACATGCTGTCCATTGTATATAGGATTCAGACCTGTGTTATGTCAGCTTTACATATTTAAGCAGTTTTGTAGCAATATTTATTTACATTCCTAACAAGTTCCTTACGTTTCTCTAATACTTGAAAGGGATCTGTATATCTGACATTCTCACGTGTATCGTACTGAAGTCAACCGGGAGTTAATGCATGTGCTTCTAGATGTGTTATCAAAATGAAGGTGTTTATGAGTATAAAAATATGACATGAAATGCTGCTTTTTGCGTGGAAATCTTAAAATTATTCTCTTCTGGAAGTTAATGTTATCAATACTACTGCGACTATTTGTAGTGCAATAAAAATTCTGTGGATGTTCTACATACTGACGCTGATTATAGCCTTTATTTGGTTAAGACCATCAGTCCTAGAGCCATATTACAATTCACTTGTGCCCCACTTTGGCTCTTTATAAGGAATTCTGTGGGGAATTACTATAGGGGGAAATGTTCCAAGAGAAGCTCCGTTCAGTATTTTAATGAATACGTTGAAATATGAAGAGGTGTAATTGGAAAAGAATTCAGTTCTTTCTTCGGCTGTTATGGTGGGATAACTAATGAATCAGGCAAGTTCCTATTCTTCAAGAGCCTACAAAAATCTCTAAAATGACAAATTACACGAATACGAGGGATAACATCACATCTTTGACTCGAATATCACAAACTATTCCTTGGTCAGGAGGCTGTATGCAGCAAGCTGTATCATTGAAACATAGCAATTCTGAAGTGTAGTGCCACAGTTGTTAAATACAGTTGATGGGTTGGTTAATGGCAAATTGAGAAAGTCTCTTAACTACCATTAGGAACTCCAGACTTTTAGGAGACTCCTGTTAGTTAAGGCTTGATTTACAATAGCTTCTGTTTTGTAGCTGCTGTGGTTGAAAAGAATAATATTTGCTAGGAGAGGATATGTCTTTTTGACTTTCTACTGAAGCTGACAATCTAATAATAATTTAACAAAATAATTGTATTGTATTGATCTACCATAATTTTAGTAAGCATTTATGAATAGAAAATAAGATACTATTGGAATAATTTCTTGGAGAAATGGGTATTAAGGAGTGAGTTTTAAGAGGAGCTAGGAGCCAATTGGCAGGCAAGGAGACATTCCAGAAAGTGGAACGCTGTATTAATTAAAATATGGAGCTAGTAAGGAGAAAGAGACAAAGATCTGTTATCTCTTTTATTGTTTGCAATTTTTTTTATTTATTATTCCAACTCATTTTTTTACTTGTGTTCTTGTTCTGTCTTCCCATCTTTTCCCTAATGAGCTGGTTGCCCTCCAGCAGCATCCCCGTGAAATGGGGTTCTTGCAAAAAAGCACTATGAACCCTGATGAGTACTAGAAAATTAAAAAATATCCTGAACTTTTTCTCTAACCATACAATTGAAGATAAAAAGATACCTGCAAACCTTATGTAGATGCTTCTGCTTTTGAATGTAGGTTTCTGTGCCCTGCTAGTCTTAGCATGGCTTTAGAAGTCTGGAATTCCCTCATTTCTGACCTTCTCTCTGTAAGTGAATTTACTGCATTAATTTGCTACTTTTGCTTCTGTTTTAAAGGCTGTATTGATGAGATAAAGAATGTAAGACAGAGACATTTTATTATGCCACCTAACACAATTGCTTTGAAATTTAATAAAATAATGTTTATATAGTACTTGGTGAGTGGAGAGCACTACTGCATACAAATGCAAAATATTAATCAACTTGATTTGCTGAGATTTTTGCAAACTGTTCTTAAGCTGGAATGTTTAAACCTAAGCATAATATGACATACATGATGAGCCTTGAGGGTGCCTTTTTATTACTCTAAGTAAATTAGACTTTTAAAATATGCTACAGTGTTGATTTCCTGTTGTAAAATAATGACGTTGGTGGTTTCTGTAGCGGGAAACCATTGCCGGTTCATAGAAAGTGACAGCATTAATTTAATCTCATTCATTTTCCTTTTCCCTGGTGAAACATGACTTATTTGATTCCAAGTATTGATTACTCAAATATATAAGGACGACCTTTATATTCAGTGATATAAGCAGTGGGGAATTTATTCAAGTAATGCACATTAATGTGGGTGAGTTGTATGCTTGTGTTGTGCCATAGCCTGTTGAAAAACCAAATACTTGGGTTTGTGTGGTTAGTGTTGT